CGACACCAGAAATTATTATTGTCTCCCGACATGTCGCGTTTAAAAAAATTGGAAGCTTGTTGCTCGTTTAACGCCGGATTAACCATGTGTCAGATGCGGCAAATGCCACGGGCCTCGCGCTTATGGGGGCATTGCGCTTTACTGTGCCACGCCCATTTTTACGAGAACACGGCCATTTTCTATTGGGACACACCCATTTTAGGTGCCTCGCGAATATAGGGTCCCTAGGCTTGGCAGTTGGCCCCAACACGGCCCCGGGAAGATATGCAATACTCGTGTGCATATAATCTCCAGTTGCGTTGAGCGGTTATATTATGATCCTGGTTATACATATTGACCCAACAACTGGGCCAGGCAGGCCATTGTCTCGTTTATAATTGATGCTAATAAATTGAAATATTGAAAAAAATTATCTAACAATTTTAAAATCTGCCACGAGCCTCGCGCGACGTTAATCCGGCCCTGGTCACTTGTCGGTAGTTCTTGTGGTTTTAATGCCAATTGCCAAAGAACGAAAGAGAGCACCGATGACTTCCCCCGTCGGAGAATTACTGGCGCAGCCCAGGCCTAGGGTGGTCGTGTTAAAACGGCATTTTCTCAAAGTTAAAAAAGCATTTGACCTAAAAATATATATGGTGCATTTTCCGATATAATAAGGTATATCTGGGCAAAATTTGAGCAAAATCGATTTTTCCGTCGTGGCCGCCTTATGTTTGATTTGTGTGGACATCCTCTCTTAAGCAGTACTTCAGGTAAACGATGTTCAGTAGTTATCGGATTAACACCAATCTTATTAATTTCGTCATTGATAAGTTCAATCTTTCGACCGAAAAATGTTCCAAATTCATAAGGTGGTAAACTTTCAAATGATTTCTGTTTGGACAATGAATTGATAACACGAAACAATTTCTTAGAATTGCCTGAGCAAATGTCAATTAAATCAGAATAATAGCCAGTCTTTGTTTTACGAAGAAGGCCACTGTATTTATCTCTTTATCGATCAATGTAACAATTAATTTGAGCTGAATGTTTAAAGGGGCAGTATGATCAAAACTTTTATTCTCTTAAAACAAATATAATAAACATATATATATATATATATATATATATATATATATATATATATATATATATATATATATATATATATATATATATATATATATATATATATATATATATATATAT